GCTTTCCACCTTGAGGACAAGGTGGTACTTGGGGAGGGGGGTAATGTTATGCTTGAACCGGCCCAGGAGGGGCCGGCTGGACCCGGTCTGACCCGGGTCTACACCAGGCGGAGGCGGAAACCAGGAAAGGAGGGGGGCGGACAAGGTGGGCCCCACTTGGGGCTGATTTGATTATGTGGGAGGGAAAATTTTGAATGCAAAGGGCTGTTTAGGTATTTGGTAGGAATCCATTATTGCTAATTAGGAGGATTAGGAGGGAAAGGGGGTTATCTTGAATTTGAATGTAATTGGAGATCTAGGGTTTCTTGCTTGGGCTCTTGGCGTTGCCGGAGATTGTCGGAGAGTCGTTCTTCCTCTCGAATCGAAGAACATTGTATCTTGCTTTTGTTTTGATCATCTACTAGTGGAATATAAGTCCATTGCTTGTGTTTCACTCAGATTTCCTACAGATTTCTTTGTTTTCTACTGTTTTCCTGCGTTTTGGGCTGATTTCCTACTGAAAAACAGCAAATCTATTGCTGTTTTCCCCACTCAAATCGATAGGAATACTTGGATCTAAGTATTTCCTATCAGAGATGCATCAGGCATACAGCAGCTTTTTTATGCTTCCATGTAGCTCTATCTTATTGTACTTTGGAACTTCGAGTTGTTTTGGGTTATTTCTTATATTTTGGCCTTATGTTATGAGCCATATCATGTGTCAAATCACGTGGCAAGTGTTCGTGGACTTGAGCTTTAACAAGCCCAACAACTTACTTGCATTCACCTAGCTCGTTGAACCATGTTGATCCCTTTTAACCACCCTTCGACACCTCCACATATGTTGACCTCCACGTCACAATTAGCTTGATCAATCACCTTTTTGGCCTACATATCACCCTCTTTTTTTTTATACTCCTCACTATTTATCTTACTATTTAAAGCAAAAGATAACATTATTATGTGCTGAAATGATCTTGTTTTAATTTATTTATCTTTTGAAAAATAAAATAACCCTTCAAACTCTTGAAAAATCACATGCCATCAATTTTAAACCATTTTCCCATGCTTGAATGTCCCCCCTCCTCTCTTCCCTCCTCTTCTTTTGACAATTGAGTAAACCTCTTGCTCATGACTATAAATATCTCTCTTCACTTGTTAAATTATGTTATAAGGTGAGATTGTAAGATAATCTCGAGTCATCTTATCTAGAAGGCAATATCATAATTATCATTGGGTCTACCTTAATAATAGAGTTGTATGTCCACACAACCACTACTTGAGTTAGGATTGTAAGCCCCATACTTCAAACCTATTTAATGGCAACCACTAAATACAGATCAAGATCTAAATAAAAAAAGAGGCCTCCCTACAGACCTTTGGGGATATAAGTCCTACTATCACTATAAGGTTAGCATAGAATCCTTAAACAACAAATGTAAGCAAACTTGTCAATACCTCAATCTTTGGGAATCGCTCAAAATAAGGTTGTAACTCTCAACTATTGGACATATCTGCATCAGTCAAATCTATAAGCCGCTATGTATAGGGGCACTCTAAAAATAGTGTTAAGTCCCACCTATTTAGCCTTTTACATCAAGATATAAGTCAAAGATTTTAAATTATTAAGCCCAAACAAATAAGTTCAAATTATTAAAAAATCCAAATCAACAAAATATGATTCAACAAATGCAAATCAAGATAATGCAATCCTCAGGCTAGCTCTACCACATAGAGATTGAAAGTCTAGCCAAAGGGCCACCTTCATGTCAAGGTCATAAGTTCCGCCATCAAGCATCCTAAGCATATAAGCCTCAATCTTGTAATCAAGTCAAAAAACAATCACTAAACCACACCTTCCACACCAAGTACAATCTTAAGCCAAGCTAACACGAAGTTGCCAAATCAACAAGATAAATCTCAAAGAAACCTCTAAAGTTCAATCAAATTCATACCAACTATAAGTTGGTGTATGTTATATTCAATAAAAATTTAAAAAGCAGGCACGTCAATTTATAAAGATGAAGAAATGGTGAAGATAGAATTGACTGTTCGGGTATTGATACGGTATCTAATGATGAATTGATAGCTCAAAAAAAAATTTTAATGGTTTGAAGTTGAAAAATGAAGGAATCACCTTGAGTGATGATGAGATTGAAGAAACCATTGCTAACATTGGAAAAGCAATTGAATCAGATGCAACTTTCACTTCACCATCATTGCAAAAGAAGCAATAAGGAGTTGGAATATCAAAGAAGCCCGAAGGAATTTAATTATAGTGGATTATCTAGTTGTGTTACTACCTTTGTTATTTCATTTTAAATTATAATTAATCTAATGTTAGTTGGAATAATACGTAAGAAGAAAATGATATTAAGAAGATGATTTTAAAGATGAATATGAGACTGAATTCAAAGATGATAGACATATTATATATGAAGTTTCTTCTAAAGAAGATGAAATTGAAAAAAAAATGAAGATGAACATGATCCTAATGGTTTAATTAAAATTTTAATTTTGGGCTTAACTTGAAGCTTGTTCACTTACTAATTATAAATATAATATTAACAATACGATTGAGATTAGCTTTATTTTTCTTATTGTGTGCTCATGTGGTTTATGATGATGAACAAAATTATTTTGCTGATAATTTATGAATTATCTTTATTTTTATTTATAGTTTGAGGTTTATGTTTTGATCTGCCTTAAGACTTATGCCTCGCCTCAACAAGGCAAAACATCATTGCTCCCGATTTCATCTTTTGAAACCTTGGCCTCAATGAATGTCATACATCACACAAAAACATGTTCACATGTATGCTCTAATTGCTCTTCTTTACAAAGTAAATCCAAAATCTGATCTTGAATCAATTGTGCATTAAGCCACTAAACCAACTTGAATACAATTCAATCAATCACACTAAACACACAGTGATAACATAGGAACGCATATGAACCACTGTCAAAATACTAGTCCAACGAATTAATTTGATTCATGTATGCATCATTAATGTCATCAAGATAAAGTAAGGGTAGTTGAGAATACCTGTCAACCCGTCCTACGAGAAAAACTTGAAAGAAGACAATTCATGACTGTAAACAATGTTTAAAGTTATGCAATATGATATTGAGGCATTTTCTTTTTGCAAGGCAAGTAAGCCTCATAGTGCTCCAAGGCATAAGCCTCAAATTAAAATCACTACAACAACATCAACATCAACATCAAGCCTTTATCCCACAACAAACCTGAAGCATTTCTCCACTTCAACCATCCAACTTGAATTCTATTAATAATATCCCCATCTATTTCACCATAACTTTGAATAATAGACCCAAAATATCTAAAATGAGTACACTTATTAATGACTTGATCACTTAAAGTCACAAACCCCCCACTAGATCTATTATTATTAAAATTACACTCCATGTATTCAGTTTTAGATCTGCTCAAACAAAAACCTTTAGGCTCAAAGGTTGGCCTCCATAATTCGAGTTTACCGTCAACTCCGTCTCTAGTTTTATCAACAAGAAGAATATCATCAGCAAAAAGCATACCCCAAGGTATATCCTCTTGCAAATGTCTAGTGAGAACATCCATGACTAAAGCAAAAAGATAAGGGCTTAATGTTGCTCCTTGATGTAATCCAACTAAAATAGGAAAATACTTGGTCAAACCACCTTGTGTTTGAACACAACAGCTCTTGCATGCATATCCCTAATGACTTGAATATAAGCAATATCAACTCCTTTCTTTTCTAGAACTCTCCATAGCACTTATTAAAAATTTTAAAAATAAAGCAATTATTAGTAATATTTTTAAATCATAATTGGTAGATCGAGTCCGCCAATTTGACCTTGGATAATGTAATCATGAGATCTTAATCGAGTTAATCACTCATTTCCCAATCATACTACAAAATTATAAAAATAAACTTAATCACCGCCAACCTATAGCACATGTGATGCCCTTAATCAAGAGTACTCTCACGTATCAAATTTGAAATGTAATTCACAATGCAGATTTGCGCCCACAGGAAACTCAATCCCCAAATCTAATATGAATTGTTGATAAACCAAATTCTATCAAGTAGAAATATCCACAAAACATAAAATGATCTTCCTTTAAAAACTCCATGTAGTTCTAGTCCCTAGAGTCCAAAAGAGTTCAAAGGAAGGGATCACCCTTCAATCTCATAAGCATTTAGTGCTCACAACTTTCAACTTTATATATCACCAATGGATGAAGCACATAGAAAGATAGCACAATTTAATAGCATACTAAAGCTCCACAGCATTCACATGGCATATGTCATAACAATATTACAGCTCGTTGCCTTCAACAAAGCATTAACTAAGAGTGGTTACAACTTTCAAGTCCCACTCTATGAATTAGGTTATCTAGTTCAGAAATATGAGCTAATCATGTGGACTACTGCTCTGCTTATCCTATAAGCAAGTTGTGAGCAATAAAATATTGCCTTAACTAGTTTAGGATAAAGGCAACTGAAGCATTCCTTCCCACCCTTCCCTCTATAGGATTATATTTTCTTACCCTTGTACAGAAAGGCCAAACTGCCTACATCAATAACTTAGAACTGCAAAACATAAGAAAATACTGCCAAAAACAAAATGAAAACATCGACCGGAGGATTCCACAAACACTGAAATTCCCATTCATTTTATCACCAGCAACTTATAATTAGTTCCAATTCAAAAAAACAAAAAAAAAAATTCTCATTGTTAAGATACTAAAAAGAATCAGCTCCAAAATAACAGCGTTTTATCAAAAAGAACAATCTTTTAACACGAGAACGCAGTTAAACTATCTCATCTCACAAGAACAGCAGAAGTCTAAAAACCCCAAACCAAAACACACGAAAAATCTCGATATTCCAAGAAGCAGACATGAAATCAAAGCCAATTACCTCGCCCAGCCGGAACTCCGGCGATGAAGGAAGAAGCGAGGCGAAGATAGGGTTGGCTTTCCCTGAACTAAGAGAAAGCGATAGACCGCCTAAGCTTTCGCCTGAGGAAGAAGTGGGAAGAAAAGGAGCGAGCCTGTCCAGAGAGGATAAAGCTTTGGCCTAAAGAGGGAACGGCGAAGAGAGTTCGGGAAGAGAAGGAACGACCGCAAAGCTTCAGCCGTCCGATGGCGTGTTGGCTGCTTTAATATTCGTTAAAGATTCAGATGATGAGTATTTCAATAATTTTACTATATAAATACTTCATTCATATTAGAAATAAACTTTGGATTTCTTTGGTTGATTTAAAATATATGAAATAAAATTCTATTTAAGAAAATATATAAAATAAAATAAAAAATAATCACTATGCTCTCTATTTTGTAGGACAATGTAATAATTTTACATCTATAAATCATTTATGTTAAATTATTTATAATTAATAAATAGATAAAAAAATTTATATTAAATTAATTTATTTAATTATTTAAATAAGATATCAATTGAACTGGGTTGGCTGGCAGTTCAAACTAGTTCACAACAATATGATGTTGGGCCGATTTTTAAGGTTAACTAAATCAGACATATGACTAGTTCACAGTCAAACCGACCAGTCCGTCCGACTTTCAAAACCATAGCAAAAAAGTCGAAATAATATTTGCTCTTTTATTTTAATTCTAAAAATCACCAAAAATATTTGATCCAATGAACATAGCATAGGAAGTATGCTTGATAGTATGTTATATATACTTGGCTTGCCACTAAAGGGGGAATAAAAATACTTAACGTTCATACTAAGGCCCCACTTATGTGCTTTTTATGTCATTATTTTACTTGTTTTTGCCCCTTTCTTTAGAAAATTTTCATGGAAAATGATAAATATGTCTCTTAGTCATGACTTTGTCTCTTAAATTGCATCATGTGATCTTTGTGTTGCTTCATAACTTCATGACTAGTTAGTGCAATCACTCATATTCTCAACCTTGAGTTTGGCCTCTTGATTGTGAGAGATTATTACGTACTGATATCAAACGTGTCCAGAGGTCAATCTGGATGCGTCATGTCACTCAATACAACACAATGCATGTTGTATTGGGTGACATGGCACCTCCGGATTAGCCTTCTGATGCGTTCGGCGTCCGCACGTAATATATTTTTCTTAATTGTGTTGCTTGTCTCTTGGTTGGCATCTCATTGGCTTCTTATGACCTCATATCAACTTGTATTTACCGACCTCGAGTTGAATGAGCTTAGGCTTCGTTTGAGATGACTTTCTTATTATTTTCTAAAGTAGCTTATGACCACAAAAAATTCTTAAAAATAGCAAAATAATAATAACCAAAAGTTGTAAGCTTCAATTGAGAGGATTTCCTTAAAACTATTGTAAAAAACAACATTTTAAATTTATTGTAAAAAATAGCTTTCTAATATAATGTTTTTTAATAGCAAAAAATTAATAACCAAATAAAAATTATAATTACAATCTGCAAAACTAAGCAATAAAAAATTACCACAAACAAAATGTTAGTCTTTATCATTTAAACTTTGATTAATTGTCCCTTCATAGTTCAATTTTTTAGCTTTTGGATAGCTTTTCTCTTCTTTTTTTCCCCTTTGGTTTATTTAGGATTGTTTTTTTGTTTTTTGTTTTCCATTTTTTCATGCTTTTCCAGAGGATTTTGTCCCTTTGGCTTTTCCTATTTTCTTAGAATCATTGTGTTTTTTTTTTTTTTTATTTTACAAGTTGAACCTCTGCTTCTAAAATTTATCAAAAAAAAAAAAAGAGTAAATAAGGAACTTAGTAAACAAAAAACCATCATGGTAGCAATGTGAATGGATTAAAAAATAAATTTACTATTATTATTCATTAAAGTACTTCAAGAAATTTTATTTTTAATAATCATTAGCAACTAGTTTATCAATATAAATTAATTAAGTAATAATTATGCATCTAAATAATATTAAAATTGGAATTCTAATTAATTCGTGAAAGAATAGTTTATCTAATAACAATAAATAACTTTTTAATGAAAATAAAAACTTCTAAGAGACAAAAAAAGTAAATATTTTGATATGATTATTAATCAAAGGCATGTCTTTAAAATTTTCAAAAAAAAAAATACATTTTACAAAAACATACTTTTTAATTTTTAAAATAACCCCATATTTCAGCTTCCATACAGCAAAACTTTCTCATATAGTCCCTCACCTTTTTACCAAATGCCTTAAAAATTTATTTCATCATACCTCTTGAGCACAATACTTAACCAAGAAAACCTTCAGATCATCCGAAAAATTATTCTGTGTAGGCACCGGACGTAGCTCTGTGTTTGGAGACGAATCAGAGCACGCCACGTCACCCGGTACACTGCGGGTATACAACCGCTATACACAACAAGACAGCGGGTACACAGCCGCCGTACACATCAAAGAGGTTATATGACGTGCTCTTATTTGCCTCCTGACGGCGTCCGGTGTCCACACAGAATAATTTCTCTACATCAAAACCATGTTGGCTTCATTTGTTTTACAAACAAGTAAACCGAACCAGAAGAGAACATCCTCCTTAGCTTTCATAGAGCAAAACTTCCCCAAATTGATTTCATTATATCAAAACACATAAGCAAAAATAAGAAATACTATCAAATTGGGCTTCTTTAGTGCCTTCTCATTAGTTCTTAGGATGCTTTCTTTCTTTGTTTTGCAGACAAAACTAGACCAAAATAGAAGGTGGCAGACCCCAAAAAAATGTATATATGCATTCCCCACTGGACTCATTTAGAAGAATTAGTAAATATATACAGAAAAAGCTATATCTAAACTAGAGCTCGAGTTGAATGAAGAACAAAGTTGGAAAAAAAAATCTTACAATCTATCCATCTTCCCAGTATATTTGAGCTCGGCACATAAGTCGTCGTAGACTAGCCGAACAACTTCAAGCTCACTTCTGAGCTCTTGTTCCTGCAAATCAAAAACAAGGTATAGAAGGCCATGAGATGATGATTCTATTAAGATCCATGTGTGATGTAGTGGATTGGCAAAAGAAACAGATCTGCTAGAAGAAACACCAAGAACAAGAGAAAAAATCAAGCTCAAAAGCTTAAAATCATATAAAATTCATCATTGATCTTTCATGTTACAATACTTGCATATTTATAAGCTAATACGTACATTCTAGAAGCTAATAGTAACAAACTTAGATAACATATTCCTAAAGCTGCATTTAGTTAAGATGCTCCTACATCAATTTGGAAATGTTTAACCTCGCTGCGCAAGATTTCTATTTCAAGTCCAGGTCATATATATATTTGTAGTGGGTTTGTATAAAACTCCCTATAATTTGGTCTTTTTTCTGTTTAAAAATTCATAACAAGTTTAATGGTTTATCTTATTTATAAATAAGAATGGCAAAACCTCTCATACATGACAGGATTTTTAAAATCGTATGCCTTGGCTTCTTTGAAACCTTGGTAGCACTGCTAGTGTTTGTTCTGCTGGGATTTTATAATAAACTCTAGTAGTTGATACTAGAAACATCTTGATTTCGAAAAAAAACAAGGTATATATATACCGTAGTTTCAAGAAAATCAAGCAAAAGGCCAGGGGGTTGAGAAATCCTACACCCTTGGGAATTTTATATTAGTAACCACACAAAGGATTTTTAGATCCCTAAAGATAAAGCAGCCTTACCAATATTGTAGATTTTTGAGGACTTAATGCTAAAGTACCGAACCATTGGGTTTGTAAGTTTAGATATTTAAATCATGAATTCTCACAATCTTATGAAACTCATGAGATGATTGTTAAAAAATCCAACGGGATTAGGTTATTCCTTTTAAGGAAGAGAAAGATAAGCCACTTCTACATGTAAAGTTAAATTGTATTTTCAAAAAATATACATATGAAGATGATGACATTGTGCGTAGATGGTGACTCATTAGTTGAGTGATAAGTCCCAACTATGAGACCCATGCTCGAAGCACGCAACTCGTATAAAATTGAGATGTATTTGCTAAATGGCGAAAAAAAGAGATGATGACTGATATAATGTTAAACCTAGAAGTTCAAAAATCAAAGCTAAATGCTTGAAGACAAATAAGGCGACATATACAACAAAGTACTTTGATCAAAATAAAGGTTAAATTAAGCCGACCAAGGTCTGGTATTTTCGATGGCATTATGGCTTTCTTCGAGGATTTGTATCCCCTATAATTTTCAAAGTGATTAGACTTGAAGTGTAAGTGATCGAACCAACTCATGAGTTGGCTTGAATTTAGCTCATTAATGACTTTATCAGCCATGCTCAATGAGTTATCACAAGTATTATTAAGCTCAACAAGCAACTCATCGAGCTCAAGCACATTGAAGAGCTCGAGTTTGCACTCAAGGGAAACTAGTTGAGTAGACCTCGAGTCAAGTATGACTTGAGCTGGAGCTCGACTCATTTATAGCCCTAGATTAGACTAACGCATAACTCGGACTACTGGTCTTTTGAGCAGGGTAAACCCAAAATTTTCACTTAAAAAAATAAGCTATCTCACTGAAGCGGAGAATGTAAAGGTACCGGAAATTGTCAATGCAGAAATAAATGAAGAAAATGGAAAATGCATCTCATATGAAAATAGACACATCACCTTATGTGTAAGTTCTTCCACCGACTTCTCAAGTTCCATGCACCTGTGTAGTGTAGAAAACATAAAACTATCAAGCTGAAAAACTGCTTCAATGGTTACTAGTCTAGTAGTGATCACTAGTTATTTATGCAGTACACTGCAAGTAAAATATAACAGTAATACCATGCACATCATAATTAACCATTAATATCTATGCCGCATTGAATTATCTTTAGTATATTGATTTTAGCGGACACTCCAGGCTCCTGAAAGCCACCAAATGACCAATAAAACCTCCATAATTTTTGGTAGTAATTTACAAAGGAACATTAATGAATTTTGAGATATAACAAATTTGAAGAAGTTCCATGGAGAGGATTTATGAAAGAAGGATTGCAATAAATACAATAAGCATGCTGTGACGAAACAAGATACAGTAAATAGAACGTCAGTTGCCATCTACTTACTGTTGAGTGAGTTGTTCCCTTCGTTGTACCATGGTTATAAATGCTTGATTTCTATCCCTCTTACCATGTTGAATCTGTCAAATAAATACAAATGAAAAGCTACGATTTAAGTACTAACTTAAGTTTACATACACAAACTACAAAAAAAATTTACATTTGAAATCAGCATGCAGTTTGTTCTCTACAGCATTTAGAAGCCACTAGGCAAGTTGCCTAGTGTTATTGCACCTTGCATGCTAATGGAGGTTGGGTTCGAATTTTAAAAAAAAAAAAAAGTCATTTAGACCTGAATTTGAGGTTTGTTTTTGTGTGCAGGGGCATTTCCACTAGTAACAGACTGCAGCTTCAGCGCCTCAGTTGCATATATATTTTCTCCATTATTTTCATTTTCTGGCAGTACTGCAAAAACATTCATAAAAAATCGAGTTGATGAAGTTAGAATAATAACCGGATCAATAAGCACAATTGAAACCACGACAGGAAAATTTTATTTTAGTTACACCCTACCTCAGAATATAGAACTTAATTTTCTAAAAAATAAAAAATTACATTAATAACCAACCCTCCCCTAGGTTTTAGTAAATGTAGCAATTCAAGAAGAATAGTTACGAGCATTAAGATTCTTGTTACTTAGTGAACTGTTAAACAAAGCTTATAGAGAACTGACAATCCAACCTTAGGGATCTCTCAACACTAACACAAGGACATGACACTGGTGAGTGGCACCTGTTACAGCGGGTAAAGGGATCCATGAAATAATATTAGGAATAATACATTAGAAATTTTACAATAACAAATACATTATTTTAAAAGTTTGAGATGTTTTGTGCCTAATTGGACATGGTCATTCATTATGGTAAAAATAATCATCTTATCATACTAAACAAGAAGTTACGATGTGGATTATGGATCCTCCACTGTTTTATGTAAAATGATACACTGTGTTAAACTATATTGAGTTTTAATAATTCTGCTCAAATTTTTCTCAAGCCTTTCTCCAGCCTGCCTTAATTTTTTCCCCTACTAATGTAACCATTGTGCTTCTTATCTGCACCTTCCATGCCCAAATCATTGAACCTCAAATGATTACATTCACACTTCACAGAAACTACTTCCTTCCGTTCTGTAGCATAATTTTTCATCTTCCCAGAACATCTATCTCACATTCACACTTCCGAGACAGTATGCATTCTTATTTCTGTTTCATTAAACTTGCCCTCTAGTTTCCGTTTTGACTAGACAGTATTTAATTTCCGAGCACATCAATCTTAAGGTCTGAGAATTCAACCTAAAGATCATAAATCGACTGAAACTTGGCTGACATTCTTTGCTCAAATGACTGGGATTAAAATCCATATAAAAGACCAAGGAATTTAATTTGCCTGATCAAAATCTTCTGGAACCAATCTAAAACTACGTCTGGTGGGCTCTATTAAATATAAATATTAAAACAAATGCACACAAGCATATCTTCATGGTAAAATCATGTATACATGTATGTGAAAGACATGAAGAAATGCAAATTTTTGTATCTATATAAAACTTTTATAGATATGAACATAAGTAAAAATCTATGGACTTAAGTAATGATCAAAAGACCCGTAATTATCCATAAACACTCTTCTTTAATGATAATGATCCATAGATCCCTTCTAAGTTAAGTTTTTCTAATGAGGTGGTTTTCCTATTTTATGTGAAAACCAAAATTAATTGTTTTTCCTTCCTAGAGTGCTGTAGTAACATGTGAGTTTGTAGCAGCAATGCAATGGTAGGGCAACAGCAAGGCAACAATAATGCAATAACAAGACAATTTGGATACTTTAACAAGATACCTAAAACAAGAAAACAAGGTAATTCACAAATAACAACAAAATTTTTGCAAATAGCAATCAAAAATAAGGGTGGTAGACAACCATAATTAGTGATTACAATAGTATCGGAACCGAAACCTTTCAAGCTTACAAGAATTCTGATTTTAGATTAATTTCTTTGCAAGAAATTAAGCTTATTTATAAGCAAATACAACATGAATAAACCCAAATATATTTATGTATTCCAATACCAAGAATTGGTCTATGCAAGGGCTAATCTTAAGCTAGCCTATGTATATTTTTCAATTCTTAAGGTAGGTCAAATTTGCCTTTTTTGGGACCATTTTCACCCCCGCACTATCTTACCTCGCATTGCTTCATTGAATTTTATTTCAATACTTCCACTCATATTCATTAAATGTATCAAGTAATATTGCAATATGTAAAATTTCATCTCAAACTTACATGATTATTTTATTGTTCATAAAAAACATCCTACCGGCATCTCTCTCTCCTACACACATTGCTTCTACTTTCCCAGCAACAAGTCCACAAATTGGATCCAAGTAAAATTATACAGCCTTCGAAGTCATAATTTTTTGCTAAAACTGGTTGCCCGTTTCACTCTCTTGCCCAAAAAATAGCCTAACACATGCTAAACATCTATTCTAATAATTATGCACCTTAATTTGCTCAAGTTTTCGTCATTTGGACAAATTATCTTTACGGCTATCCAAAAGCAAATCCCAGAGGCGCCAATGTTGCTGCGATTGTTTTCCTGATTTAGACAAGGACATGCCTATTAAATGGTCATCTTAAAGAAGCACACAGAAATAATTTAACAATAATCCTTGCTAGCAATCTCTCGAACAAAGATATTGCAACTGGAAAAATTCCATTGAAATTTGCATGGTGATAACATTAGCGCAAAGAATAAAACCATTTGGAGCATCATGATTAACATCATGTTTATATGATCTAGCTCTAAGAATGAACAATAGCAACAATTGTACAAATGAAATTATGAAAAGGTATGCATTCAAATTTAACATCTGATACTAATAGTGCACATGTTTAAAAGTTTCAAATTGATCAATTATTCTTTTTCAACTATCTATTCATGCATCATTTCATATCTTTCAACAACTTCTTGCTTTTTACATATTTCTTACTTCACAATGATCCAGGCCATGCCATGTTTCACAACTTATAACTATATACATTTAGCCTAAATCCATTAACAATGCACTCAGAACAGGACCGCACAAGGGCATACAAATCTCAGACTAACCTTCAGTTGCCAAGTTTTCACGCAGGAACATATTAAAGTTATTGTATTTGAAAAATAAACCATGATTAAAGGACTACCTGCTTGAGAACTTTCCCCACCATTGGCAAGGAAACTCTTCAGTCTTGTGAAGCTTGATTGGGGCTGTGATACATCCGCTTCTTCTACATCCTGTGCACACTTCCTTCTTTTAGCTTCCTGCACACTCTCGAATGTTTCTTGATTATACACTCGATAACCATCTGGTAATTCTTTTGAAGATGAAACTTTAAAAGCAACATAACCAACCAAATGACAATGATACTTCCTGCAAAGCGAAATGGCCAAATCCCACTAATAAGATTCTCAGAAGTCAAACTACATGGAATGACACAAGGTTTAAGAAGGATCATGAAAGGCTTCTAAAACATCACAACCAACATAACGCATTAATGCAATAACCATTCTAATTGCCTACTGATACACAAGAGAAAAATGGTTTTACAGAAGTCAAAAAAATAGGAAAAATGAATTTACCGATGTCCAAAAATTAGAAAACAAGGACCTCAAACAAATTAAGTAGAGAACAACTTGTAGACCACAAACATAGAGACTTAATGAGAGTTTTATAAAACTAGATATTAGAAAAGTCAAACAATAAATTTTTAAGTAAAGAACAGGTAAGCATGCTTGTTTCTTTTAGAGAAGAAAGATATGCACCAAGAAAAACAATTCATTAATTCACTGCAATAGGTGATTGAAGTTACGAAATGAGCATATACGTGAAAAGGTTGGAGTAGCCCCAGTGGAAGATAAGATTAGAGGGAGTTGCCTTAGATGGTTTGGTCACATAAAATGGCGACCTTCAGATGACCCGGTTAGAAAAGTAGATGTATTAGATTTGAATTGTGATAAGAAAGGTAGAGGTAGACCTAAAAAGACTTGGTTAGAAAATATTAGAAATAACCTTTCTTTATTAGATTTAGATGAAAATTTGAATCTTAACAAGACACAATGTAGAAAAATGATTCATGTAGCCGACCCCACATAATGGGATAAAGGCTTGTTGTTGTTGTTGTAGGTGATGGAAGTTACCTAGGCAAGTTTCAGAAATAGAAAGAAATCATAACATACTTCGATGAAATTTCTGTATGGAACATATGAGCAGGCTTGCTTGCTTGATTGAAAAAAACAAAAAAGGTTAAATCACAATATTCCAGTGACATGAATAGAATATTACAAGCATAACTTAATAGGAAGAAAAAAAAATGGAAAACAATGACTTCACAGACCGACACATCTTTGGGATTCAGATATTAACAACAGGTTCTGCCATTAGCTTAGGAATCAATAATGAGAGTACTGCATTCTTAGTATAAAATGTATTCAGTGATTCAGTGGAAATTGATAAGATCATATAAATGATATAATAAAATAAGAGGAACTCTAGCAGTCCACAAAAAACTCCTCAAAGATTTACGATCTATTTGGAACAAATTTTTAATTGTTTTGCTTTTTCATACCGCTATCACACTTTTATTTGACTATTATTTTTTTACTATTTTTTTAAAAAAAAATATAGTGGGAAACTCTTTTTATAATCATATCTAATAGAACATTATAGCTGTAATAAAATTATTATTTAACTTTTTCCAAAAAAAAAAAAATTATAACACCATGCTGGCTCAAGAAAAACGGCACAACGGCATGAATAACGCTTTGCAGATATAGGATTTAATTACCCTTAAGTTAGATTGTATTTAACCATATTTTCCCTGAGGTTAGTGTCAGGGTTTAGTTAGATTTAGGTCATTATTATGAGCACAAGCACTCATAGTTAATTACCTCTCTTAACACGTATGAGAGTGCTCTCAATTAAGGATGAATAATTTTAATTATTTTAGTCTCAGTTGTGGGGGAAAATGGTGGTAAACCCGATGAAGATCACATGGTTCCGTCATCTCATGTATGCCAAATATTTCAGTCTACCAAAACTAGCAATCGTTAATCATAGTGTCAAGGGAATCTAATTAGCAGTCATGAGTTGACTCCTCGCAGAGATCCCGAACAGACTGAAATGGTTAAATATAGGTGGATTTGGTTTAGATTTGAAAAAGGTGGTTTAGGGTTTATATCTATTAGAATACCCATAAGCTATTTGGTTTGAGATTTATAACTTCGTTTAGAAGTTATCCAAAAATTTGAATTGAAGCGGGTCTTACGGCTTCTCCTAGAAGTAGCCCAAGTGTTTGAATTTGGGTCGGGACTTATGGTTTTCATTGAAAGTAGCACGTAAAGCAAATCTTACGCTTCTATTAGAAGTAGCCCAGGTGCTTGAATTTGGTTTATTTACCAATTTTTCTAACATTTGGGTCTTATGACTTCACTTATAAGTTGCTCATTGGCTAGTCTTACAACCAAGCTCTATAGGCTATGCTACCTAATTATTTTGGTTGAGGGTTTGATATTTTATTTAGAAATTCCCCAAAAAATAGGTTTTACAACTCCCTTTAGAAATTCCCCAAAAAAATAGGTTTTACAACTCCCTTTAGAAATTGCCTGATTATTTGGGTATAATGGATCTTATTGTTTCTCTTTGGAAGTAGCCCAATGGTGAGTCTTACAACCAAGCACTATAAGCAAGGCTACCCATTAGTTTTGGTTGTTTAGGTCAAACAGCGTCCCTTAGGAAGTAGCATGAAGGTTTGTATGACTTACTGCTTCCCTTTGGAAGTAGCCTGGTTATTTGTGTTTAGGGTATCTTGGACTGCACCCGTAGGTATTTTAGCTTGTAGTTGTTTGCTAGCTTAACATTAGACGAGCTTTTAGTTGTTTACTTCCTGCTTTAATAGTTCAGTATTTTACCCTGCTTTTCTTTTCTTGCACTTTAGTTGTTAATACATTGCTTTTCTTTCATGTACTAGTGCCCTGCTTTACTTTATGTACCGTACTTTACTTTCAACACCCTATTGTTTTGCTTTAACATTTATTTGGTATTAATCAATTTTACTTGCTTGCTTGCAGGAATTCGTGCTACCTTAGAGTTTGCACAAGAGTACAGGAGAGCTTTCACAGAGAGTTGTTTTGGAGAGTTTGGTGTTCAGAGTTTGATGAGCTTTGTTTGAGAGTTTGAGTGTAAGTTTGTTGAGAGCAATTGTTGGTTGTACAGTATTTTATTTGGTGCTGAGTTGTACACTCTTAGTACAAACACTATATTTTTGCATTTCCTTTTATAATTGCTTAATTAATTAATTAACTAATTAACCAAAAATAAATTTTCTAATTAATTGCATTAATTAATTAACCAATAACAAATCTGATTGATCTCATTTAATTAATTAACAGGCACCCATATTTTAAACTGATCTCGAATTTTTAAATTAACAAACGAATAAATTTAAATGAATTTCAATTAATTAATTAACTTTAATTAATTAATTTCAATTAACTAATGGATTTTTATTAATTAATTAATTTCAATCAATTGATTAATTTCGATCAAGCAATTTCAATTAATTGATTAATTTGATTTTAATTAATTAATTTTTATTAATTAAATTTAATCTAGTTAATTGAATTAATTAATTAAAATCAAATTTAAATTGCTCTCCAATCGGTAGTCTTCTGGGGCGATTTCGGCAACCTCCCGACATCCCCCTCAATGGGGAGGTCGGGACGGCACTTGCCATTGTTTTCTTTTCGGCCGAATCTAATAAGATCTACAGCGTGAGGGCTTTAGTTGATATTCTTCCTGGCCGGATCTAAAATCGATGGCGAGAGTCTTCAATTTGCACCTATTAGCTTATCCCTCATTTTATTATTATTATTATTATTATTATTATAAAACATACCATTGCCAATTCTTGGTATCAATGGGCTATTAGTAGACAAGATTATACAGTATACAAGAGTGAAAGCTATGAAACCTTCTGCACTTGAGGTCGGAAAGAATAGTAATTAAATCGGATACAAAACGGAGGTCGTATACTCGTACGTGGGTCTTACGAACTAGGGCGTTCGTGTGTATAGTGCCGAACGAAGCAGGCTAGTAGGCGGTGGCTCTGGCGCTTGAAAAAGGAAAAAGCAGCGCATCGGGAGGTTTCATGTGGGTGTGGTTAGTTGACCTAACCACACAAAGCAAGTAGGCGGGTGTTGGAATGTAAAGCGTGGAATCACAAAAGCATACGGATTGAAGCAAACGATCGTGAGGAGTTCGAGGACAGAGCGACTAGGTTGAAAGCAGGTTCGGGTGGAGGAGACCGCACAAGTTGAAGTGGAGTATCAAAATACCTAAATTCAAGGTGAGTCCTCGTGTATTTAAATTATAGTAATAGTTTTGCTTTCTTCTAAATTTAATGCATAGAAGGATATTACTACATGCTTATTTAGTTATTGTTGCAAGTTAAATCATATTTTATTTTTCTCATATTCAATATTATTCATATTGGTATATACGATAATTAGAATGTTATGTTTAACATTTTTATATAAAGTTATTGAATTTTATATGATTGAAATGGCTAGATAGATATGCTCACATGTATAAGTTGAATGATGGAGCATAGCCCCTCGTGGCACTAGCTGGGTACGTAATGTACCCACACTTGTTAAAATGAAAAAGAAAGTACCTTCATTGGTACTATTTTAGATGATATCTCCTGTAATAGGTGTATTAGTTACAAAAAATGTTATGACATGATATGATTATTACATACATGCATATGATGTGATTTATGGCCAATTCCAAATTTAAAGGTTATTAAATATGATTACATTATAGTTTATAACAAGCATGCATATTATTCTAAAGGCCTTGAATTACTGTAATTTAGAAGCATGATGTATTGATGTGCTCACTGAGTGGTGACTCGCTCTTTAATTGCAAATGTTCATAGGTATTATCCAAAGAGTTTAAATGAGTTGAAGAGGATAGAACGTGTATCGTAGTCGCGACGCTCCGAGAAAAAGGTATTTACAGCATTTTACTTAAATACATTTGAGATATTAGTTGATCTGTCAATATATTGGAACTTGTTTTAGAAAATGAAATTTTAAACCCATCCGACCATTTATTCTCACCTCATTAATTCGATCCTCTGGCCTAGATCATAACATATAGTAATTATGGTCCCAATTCAAATGGAATCCTTTTTTTCAGTCATCACCGTTTCCATACAGCATACAGTGGAGAAAAAATTCAGGGATACAAGTAATGCAAGGTTAATATAGATTGTCAATCACTGTTTTTTCTAATATATTTCTTTCTATGCTATGTCCTCAAATTGTGACATGTATGCCCCATAAATTTTGTGCATGTTGCCACCTCAACTCATAAGAAATCGAAGCCTTTCTCTTTTATGCTTTTCAACAATCTCCTTGGCGTATGTTGAACTACGTTTTAAGGGTTGACATCAATTTTCATGTTTTTCCATTGTGCTTAGTATTGCACTTCGTGCTCCACAGTCCAGCAATCTATTTGTATTTATTACTATCCAATGAAAACATAATGATGTTTACAGCACACATTAACAGCTAGCGAAGAAACTAATATAAACTTCCAAACTAGCTGATCTAGAAAGGACACAAATGCAGAGGGTTAAGGTTTATTTCTGAGTCTAATACTAGTACAAATTGTCTAAGATTTCCTTGTCAGCATCTACCTGTAGTATATACTTAGACAACCAAAATCTTTTGTTCTGTGAAAGGAACAGCAGTATATCCATTGATTGGCATGATCGTACTGGCAAACAAGATAATCGTCTAAACCCTTAATAGTAATCTCTGCAGCTCATCGTTGCACTATGTAGTGAACTCATCACTAGTTGATACAGTATTGATGCCTTCTTGCCAATCGCCTCCAGTTTTCGCAACCTTTTCAGGAGCCTTATGACAATGCCCTTCATGCATGATTGCATATATGAAAACCGAAGGTAAAGCTTCTCTTAATGCTATAGCAACGCAAGCAGCAATATAACAACTAGCTAAGCGAGCATAATTTATACGCAATTGAATTCCCTGAGTGCAATGCATCAATTGAAAGGAAACTAAATGCAAAAAAATTACCAATATTCCAGTGCCATGTCCTTCAGGCGGTTTTCCAGTTTATGAAAAATGTCTGATTTTTCAAAATCCTGCTTATCATGAGTAGGTTTCAAACAGTCAACCTGGAGTACCCCTGGCAATGACAATGTAATTATCATTAGTGACAAATCAATGTTCAACAAAACAGATAAATATCTCAAGATGCACCTAGATAGAAGTAATGAGAAAAAACAAAAAGAACAAACGGCCTCTTACCAACAACCCCTCTACATTTGTGAACCACACGCCAAAAGGGCTGCCGATCAAAAACCACAAAAGATTATTAAGTAAACAATCAAGGAATATGAAAGGGATTCCCAAAAAAACCATAGTAACATCTAAAAGGTGGTCATATATGTATTAGAAAAGAAAGTGCCTCAACCTAGAGTAAGTATTATACAATAACATCAAACATTTATCCCACTACATGAGGTCAGCTACATGAATCATTTTTCCCCATTGAGTCTTGTTAAGAGTCTAAAGTAATTGCAAAAGAGATCAAGCATCACAAAAAAGAATGCCAAAATTTATGTGGTTCGGCTAAAGTATACGTCTGCAACCGCATAGAGATCAAATAATTCGTTAAATTTCATAAAGAGTGCACGAAGAATTACACTCAAATAAAGCTGGAGAAATAGACAGATAAAATTTTATCTAGTTGAAAGAAAATGCAGTCAAAAGTTGCAAAAATGAGGATAGGACTAAAAAAAGAACATGCTTTTGTTTCTCTAGTTACTCTCTTCAACTCTTTATTGCTGGAGCTCAAATGAGAATAGTTCATTGCTATGACCAAGAACTTATACTCTTGCTAAGACCAAAAGATGACACCACTCTTCCTTCTTGAAGAAGCCGAAAAATTTCACTTGCAGGACCCCAAGTATCACAAAATTTTTAAAAGGTAAAGCATAATTTTTTTTGGCATAAAAATATGGCCCAAAAGTTACCCCTTTTTTTTCTCATTCCTCCATAAAACATCACAGTTATTTTCATGGCATCCTATTTTTAATTTCGAATATTTTGCTATATATAAGTATATATATATTCATTTAATAGCTTAATTAATTAAGAGTTCATTAACAGTTTAAATTACTGTAACATATTCTTAATTAAAGGATAAGTAATGTTAATGTTATATCACTGTAGCATACAACCACTTTTTTTAATTAATTCTGCTGTAGCGGTTCTACTAATCAGAGCATGCAAAGGTTGATTTTTGGCATGCTGTAATCCCACGGCTAAGAGTAAGTTTGGAAGATTGAGTGGAAAGAGCACTATTATATGATATATATAAAATAAGATTTAGTTAAGTAAACAGCAGTTCCCATTCCTTTTTCCCAACTCGATCCTCTGGAGTTCGAGTTGGGGGATCCGTGAGGGCTTGCGGGAGCTGCTGCTGGCTGCTGGGAGGAAAACTTTCAGAAATAAAGGTCAGAAAATCAGTATTTGTTGAAATGAATGTTTGCTGAAATGGTGGAATTCAGTAATGTTTGCTAAAATTTGTATTTCTGAAATGTTGGAATTCAGTAAGGAAAAAGAGGCTTAATCAATGTTTGCTGTTACTGAATTCTGCGTTGCTGAAATTATACTGCAAGGTTTGCTGAAAAGTGAAAACATGTAAGGATGTTTGCTGAAATTAGGTATGCTGTTTTTTTGTTGAAAACGGTAAGGAAGAGGGGCTGTTGCTGAATTCAAGCGGGGAAAAGAGAAAGGAAAGGAGGGGAGGTGAGGAAAGGAGGGGAGGTGAGGAAAGAGAGGTAAGGGAAAGATTTTGGGTTGACTGAGGAAAAGTGCATTTGAGGTAAATTTATAAGATTATTTTATAACCTATATTAGTTTATTTAAATGCATAATAAATCACAAAAAAGTATGCTTTAGGCTGTTACAGAAGGAAAAGAAGGTAGGGTATTATAGAAAAACCAATTGATAGCAAGGTGATATACCAATTTGTAGTATAGAAAAAAGCAATATTTTTATATAAATGTGGCAGTATGTTTATTTAATTGTGGTGGCAATTATTTTCATGTTAAGCATGTTAATGGTTTACTAGCATATTTGGTTTCAGTATTAGTTAGATGAGTTTATTAGATATACATGTTTATTACAATATATAAAGATGTATGATAGTAGAAATGTGAAGCTTTATGAAAGATAAAACTAAATATAAATGAAATGTGGAATAGACCCGCATAAGTAAAGGCGAAAGACCTGACGAGATAAGCCTTAGGGAAGCCGTACAAAAAGTACCCTACATTCTCTCACTTCTAAAAGTTGGGAATTCGAACCCTTCTTGATTGAGAGAGCTTCCCTCCAACTCTAAAAGTTGATATTGCGGACCAAACCTTGAATTAGAGAATTAAAAGTGTTCAAAAGCCTATAGTCATCATATGACTTGCCCAAAGTATTGAACAGTAAATATAATAGGAAATGTGAAAAGTTAAATATACATTGATGTTTTATACATGCTTATTATATAAAACCCAAATTGTTTTCAATTGGCTGCAAACATGTTTCTTATTTCTTATACTATGTTTATGTATTTCATGAAGCTCTAGCTCATAAGCAACAGTTGTACTGCAGGACAAGGGAAAGAGCCCACGGGGTTCTAGGCAGGAGATTGGCTGCACTTTTGTGTACATACGTTTTGAGTGTACATAGAAGTCAGAATAGAAAGTTGTACAGCAAACGTTTGAGTATGTAAATATTATTCGAAAATTTAGTAAGTTGTGTATTTTATTCGATGCGTTTTAAATATGCTTCCAGTTATGAAATATGAAATAGAATCTAAGGTTTGAAAAACTTAATGTTTTGGGATAGTTTAAATAGGCTATTTCCTCTCACTTGATCTTGATAGATGCATTTCAGGATGGGTGTTATTAAGAGATATGTCTCTCCAGATTCACCCTCTCAGTTACACTGCAAGTCGACTGTAGGGGAGGTAAAAATGGGTGTACATTAAAAAAAAAGAACTTTTTTTCTCAGATGAACTACTCTCCTCTCTCTTCCTTTTCCTCTTTCTCTCCTCTCTTTATTGCTTCTTGTTGTGACATGTATCAACACCAAGCAATCATCTACTTGTATAGTGCTTAGAGGTGATAAGTAGCAAACTTGAATATGTAAGATAGATGATATTAGGTATCATAATGTTGATATTAGGATGAGGATGGTAAGTAATAAACTTATAGAAGTTATATAAAATATAGTGGGTAAAAGTTTATATGATTTAAGCAAAGAAATTTATTTTCATATCATTAAATATGAAGTTAGGCAATTTAAAAAATTTCAAAATAAGTTCATAAAAATTCTAAAAAGAAAAGACCAAAAACCTACATTTAGACCACGGAGTTCATTATAGTGAATAGCCTAACAAAACAAAACCAATGTCAGGCCAATGTCAATAATTCTTTTTTTTGGGAAATAATGTCAATAATTCCGTCCTAAATTTTGCATGGTTAAAAATTCTCATAGGTTTATTGTCCAACCAACAACAACAACAACAACATCAAGCCTTTGTCCCACTTAGGATTCATGTCCAACCAAAAACCAATAATCAAAACAAGAACTCCATATAAAGTAAATAAACACACTATTTACATCTAATTATTGTAAGATCCATAAAGAGCAAACATGACAAAATAACAGATATAACTTTGAAACACAAATATATCAAATAAAAAATCATGGGGCATTCTAAAGTTTCCAGGTTTAATAATAATATTAAATCAAGGAATACTAACCATTATAAGACGGCATCGATGGTATATATTGAATCCATGTATGTCAAGGTGTGGTGCCCCATTTAAGAATCCGATGACAGTCCCAATTTCCTCAGACTGAATTGAGAAAATTAAAGCATGTGAAAATATGATAGTAAGTATTCAAAATTGTATAAAAGTTAAAGTTATAATTACTAACAAATTTTATACCCTAATTTTTACAACTCAGAAAAATGATTACAAATACTTTTCTTAAATTCTTTTGATATATATATATATATATAATTTAGACTAAATTAATTTAATAATGTTATTCATGGGTTTAATTTCACTGTACAGTAAAACTATTCTACAGTTAACTCATTTTCCATTTCCATTCACTCCATGCACTAACAGATGTACTAATGGATGGTCATATGCCCAATTTGGATTAAAAATAAATTTATAAAAAAATTTCAAAGTTTAAAGTGTTTTCTAATTTAATTAAATCCATTTGAATCGATATAAGTAAACCCAAATGATGTGATAATGCGCTTTACACATAGCTGCGTAGCATTAGACGACTTGATTTGGGCAGTCGCAGTCCATTCTAATTGAATAGAACGGAAGGTGATCATGCCATCTCCTACGCCTGAGACAACAATCACCGATCAAAACCCCTTTGATTAGAGAAGATCAAATTGGTTTTTTGATCCAATGGATCTAGAAGAAGTGATGTAGGCAAGGGGGGGAGGGGGTGTCTTAACATCTTGAGTCTTTGGGCTGCTTGTTGCCTCTCAGGTTGGACCTTGAATGCTTTGATTTTGAGCTAAATTCTTGAGAGCTACTTGGTTCTAGCTCATAAATGCTTGAACTAATGTTAGCTCATTAATATGAGGAGTTATTGCACTTGAAAGCTCATTATGTGGAGTTTGGAACCTTTCCTCTTCCCCTTCTTTGTGTCTCCTCGGTTCCTCCCTTGGTGTTGTTTCCGTAGATGGTTCTTCTCCCTTTGTTGGCTGCTGGTTCCAGTCCACTTTGCGCCTTTTAGGTTTGCTCCCTGGCTGCTTTCCCGTGGCTCCTCTACCCGGTTCCTATGCTGCCTTTTCGGTTTGTTCCCTGCCTGCTTTCACATGGCTGTTTTACCCAGATTTCCTGTGCCTTTTCAGGCGCTGATTCTGGAATGAATTGTGACTTTTTGGAAGCTGTTTGCTGCCCCTTTTGGTGGCTTTTCAAGTGTTGTTTTGGTCAGAACTTTTGGCCTCTAGTTCCCATAATTTATTCGGTTAATTAGTGTGTGTTATGGATGTTTGGCTGCCATCTTTTATCATATATATATATATATATATATGTGTGTGTGTGTGTGTGTGATGTTTAGAGAGTTTTTAGTGAGAGTTATGATGATAATTTTTGGATCAAACCTGCGGGTTTCTTTGGAATAGCTTGCGAGCTATGTCCTACGCCTCTCTCCTCTCTATAGCTTGCGAGCTATACTTCGTCTCGGCTTCTAATCTCATTCTTCTTCCCGCAAGTATCCACCCCATCATTACATTTCTTCTCAATCAAGAAGTGCAACTTTATGAGCTTTATTTTAAAAGTTTGTAAGTGTCGTTTGTAAGCGTCCTTTGTTGTAAGCGTCATGTTTTATTTATAAAGTTTGGTTTTGTCGTATTTTGTTTAGTTTTGAGTATTTTGTGTAATTCCTATTTCCTAGGAAGCCTTTGTTTTTGCTTGCATCAAGAAGCAAAACACCAAGACCATTCAATTGAATGGTTTGACCTTTTTGGGATTCACCTTTACTTCAAAATGTGTGAAACATGAAATTACAAGTAAATGAAGATTCACATAACTTGATTAAGAGGCTATGAGGGAGAATTAATTGTTGCAATAGCTTCGCCTAAGCACAGGCTGCACAGCGACCAAGTTTGTTGAAGGAAGCATTGACTAAGGGTGGATGGGTCGCTAAATCACCAAAGTGATGAAAACCTCGCCGGAGATCGGACTTCTCACGCATAGCGAGGGATTTGAGGGTAGAAGACGCTAAGGATCACTCACACGCTCGCAGGAGAATGCGAGAGATTCCTAATCGCGTGCTGATTTCAGCTCTAAGGGAGTCAATTTATAGAAAATTCATAGATGGATCGACATGGAAATCCAATGATCGTCGACAATGCCAATTGGCTAGGCTGTTAAGAATTGACCAATAGGAGTGAGACAAGTATCCCAAGCCATTACCAGAGTTTAAGGAGGCTCAAGCTGATGGTTTACAAGGAGTGAAACCACATGGGTGATTTGACCGTGGTTAAAACGCCGGCTAAGATGGCGTCAGCCGGCCTGCTAACTCACCAACCTTCCAAGGAACTTCAGAAAAACAACAAATCGGGACTAGATTGAGCTTAAGAGAGTTTGGATTTAGTTTGAGATTTTAGGTGTGCTCAAGTAAAGGAATTTGACCCACTTGGGTTTAGGTGTGCTTAGGCACATGGATTTAATTCACATAAGTTTAGGTGTGATCGGGTCATGAATTTGACCCACTTGGGCTAACCCAAGTGGGTTCGTTCACCAGTGGAGCAAGGTTAGGACCTTAGGAATGCTTAGCCAAGAGAGTATTTGGTTTTTATTTGAATAGGATTGATTCAAATGAACCCAAGGTGGGTCACTTGGGGAAATTTGAAAATTTTGGGTTGAACATGTTCAAGGAGACTTGACATGGGTCGAGTATGAACCCAAATGTTCTTAAAATTTGATAAGCTCATTTGGAGTCAATGCGAAGACTATTTGATTAGGTTTACGTACTTAGGTTTGAATTTAGGATTTCTTAATGACCTGACCAAACTGGGTTGATCATAATCAAAATGCTTAACCGTGGGTTAACCATGAGTAAAAGTGTTATTGATAAGAGTTTGACTACTCAGGCTTAATGCCCAAGTCAACAGGTTTAAATTAGGTGTTTAGGATTGAAATTAGACTTTCAGGATAAGCATCTAACTTTGGACAAACCCCTTTTTGACCAAGGGTCAAAGGGATTGATCATGACTCTTTGACCCATGAGTGGGTCTAAGAGTAGGTCATAGGTCTCTAGAGTAAGTCCTAGGTTTTAAAACATTTTAAGTATTTTGGATATTTTTAATGTTTGACTTAGGGTTGACCTTGTGGAGTGCACTACCTATCTAGGATGACTAGAGAGTGTCCTACGTTCTTTAGGAGGCTTCTATGTCTATTCAGAGTTAACTGGACCATGGATGGTATAAAGGCCCACCTAAGAGTTCTTTTGGTTTTGGGATTTGTATCTGACTTTGTCAAATACCGTCCCAGCCATCCCTTGGCTCTTGATCTCATGCCCAGCATGACGATTCGTGGGAAGCTCACTTGGATCATGCCATTCTCCTTCATATTTGGGAGGCCGATTTAGAAGGATTATATTAGGATAATTATGCATTATTCTATAATTATTTGTTTCTTCATTAAAATACCCTGTATATAGGGGTGTCAATTCGGGTCAACGGTTCGGGTTCGGGTCGAACCCGACTTGACCCGGCCGTAAACGGGTTGACCCTAACCCGACCCGATTTTACAAACGGGTCAAGTTTGTCAACCCGAACCCGACCCGTGCGGGTTATCGGGTTGACCTGACCCGACCCGACCTGCAAACCCATTTGATTAAACAAAAGGCATGCGACGTCGGACGAGGCACGGAGGCAATGTCGATGTAGCCTGGTGGCCTGCTACTACGGACAGCAGGTCGAGCGACCGATAGTCGCCAAAGCCTGTATCTCCGGCGGTGTCGTTTAACGGTCGAAGGACCTGCTGGGTCGGCGAACAGACTGTCGGAGTCATTTTCCTTTTTGGATTCGGATGCGGCAGATGGCCTCATAAGTAATGAATGACAGCTAACGTGAAGCCGTGAAGGGACTGTGTCAGGCTAAGAAGTGATCTACTACTTTTATTTTTATAACAATAAGCACGAGTTCCAAGAGTATAAAGCAAATATAAATATTAAATGTAAAAGATCTGATTAATTTTTTTGAAAAAGAGTCATATCATGACTTATTTAATAGCCTTATTTAATGTGATCATAGAAATATAATTTAATATCCGTACCTCCAGGCTCCGATCTTTGACCCCAGCTCCGGCGACCCCACTCCGTTGACGCTGACCCCAGCTCCTTTAAATCGGGTCTTTGACGCGCGGTGGTGTGCGAGGTTGAGGCGTAGAGCAGAAAATGATTTCGGGTCAAGGATTTCGAGTCAAATTGGGTCAATGTCGGGTTAGCGAGTTGACCCGGACCCGACCCGTTTTTTCAAATGGGTCAAAAACTGTAACCCGAACCCGACCCGTTTGTTAAACAGGTCGGATCCGGGTTCGGGTCAGGGTTATTGGGTCGGGTCAAAAATTGACACCCCTACCTGTATGGATCTAAAAATATAGATAGTTTTGTATAATAAAATTAAATTTTTTTCCCCTCTCCAATTCTTTGAATTTAACATGGTATCATAGCAGGGAGTCGAACTCAACGAATACAAAGGCTAATGAAGTGAAGACGGGTAGAGGTGGAGAAGGAACAGAGCCAGAGAAAACAACGAAAGCTAATGCCTGATGGCCATGATATGTTAACATGGCCAACTCGTGAAGCTTCTTACAACAAGAGCACGCATACTCCATCAAAAGGTTCAGAAACGGCTGAGCCCGCACCTCTGCTTTTGGGGGGAATCTGGGGAGTCGGTAGATGGCGAGAAGGAGAATAGCGATGTGCAGAGCTCGGTTAGCCTATCGAGGCGCCGTCAGCAAAGGCTACATAAAGTGATTTCCAGTAATAGTGGTGTAGCCAAGGAGGCGAAGACGAATGTCGTCTCACCCGTCACCGCCAACGCCAACCACATCATTGTCGCCTATGATACACGGATACGGACACAACAACATGGATATGACATGATATGACACGGGGCACACTAATTATTGAAAATATAGGACACATGCAAGGGTTAGAAACGGTATTATAATTTTTACATTTTAAAATTAGTGTATAAAAATTGAATAAATATACTATTAAAAATAATTTAGAAATAATAAATCATTTAACTAGAATTTGTACTTAAAATGATTAATATTAGGCTGTCGAGAGTCAGGAGTCGATGTCG